AAAAAAAAAAAAAACAAATAGTCGAGCCAGTAAAAATTACTCTAAAATACTCAGCTAGAACGTATTACAAGAGACTCATAAATGAAAGTGCGGAAAAAAAAACAATTGAAAAAACACCGCTACCTGAAGGGCATTGTAACCTGCCGTCTTAGTATATGGAAGAGATTTGCAGGTGTGGTACAATTTGCAACTATCCAGTTTGTGTCATGCAGCTGTTGTGCTTCAAATGTTGGTCCAAAGGCAAGCATCTGCAATGGAAGTTAATGAGAAAAGCACTTCTGCAAAAATCTTACTAACTTCGACTCAGACTAACATCTGGGTCAACTTCATCATCTTCGTTGCACATTTGCAAATATCTTTCCAGTCTGGCACTGCTATGTTCTGGCCCCATCCCTTCATAACCATGGGGAAGAGACACAACAAGACCAGTTTGACGGATCCACTTTGACTGTCCTAAAATCAACCCTAACTTACAGCTGCTTAAATAATTAAAGAGCAATATTTCAAGAGACATCACAGCTAAAGCTAAACAATTAAAATAAAGCCTCGACTTAACTGATAACTGACGTTCGAAAAAATATAACAAATACTCAAAAACAAATAAATAAAACAGAATTCGGTTTTGATCTTCGGAAAGAAACAAATTGACATATGAAGCGCCCCTGGCAAATCACGACAATCTTAAAACTATTAAATCTGGAAAATCCTAGCACCACCACAGAGTTGCGCTCCAAATCTATTTCTTTCCCACTCTACTGCACTTTCAAATAATTATTTACAAAGCTTCAAACAACCCTCAAATAACTGCAACAAACACCTGACGAAATAAACTGATCAGTGATGCACTGTGCATTATTAGCAAAGTCACCAAACTGTGCCTCCCAAATTACAAGAGAGTTCGGGTCCACCATTGAATAGCCAAGTTCAAAGCCCAATATAGCGTATTCAGACAGAGAAGAGTTGCAGACAGTATATTCCGCTTGCTAAAAGAGCAGAGTGACAAGGAAAATAAAGCAGAAAACAAAGAACAAAATGAAAAGACCTTTTCAGAAAGATCGTTCAATGGAATGTAAGTTTTCTGGTCAACTTTCTGATCATGAAGGACGTGGTGACGATGAGAAAATGTGCCTCTTTCTACGTCCTGGCCGGACAACCGCACGTGGATGCCTATAATAATTTGGCCTCGTTAAAATTACATAGCAATCAAGTACGAAAAAGTTCCATTACTGCACGCAATTTCTCTAAAACTAGGAGCTGTAAAGACTGAAAAGCAGGCTGACCTTCAAGAAGCAAAGAACCATAACCAAATGCTTCACCAATAGCCCAGTCCACACTGTTCTCTTCGTACATCTGTTTTCTGCCCTTCAAAATCCTTTCCAGACCACGATGAAGATTAAAATCTAAACAACTTTCAAATACACTGGGTTAAACGATGTATGCCAACTTTAACAAGCACCTTTCGGGTAAGACGCAAATTTACTGATGATTAGTTCCAACGTCTCTTTGGGAACCCCTGTTGCCGGGATCTTCAAAGGATCACGCCTTTTGAAAAAATCGTCCCAAGGGGAGTCAAGCCAATCACGATGTCTGACATAGGTCTCTTTCTGTGCTGCTTCATATGCTTCCTCTAATATGGTGTTGTATTTTGCAACTTCATCCTATAATCAGTGCTGAACGAAATGCTCATCGAAGAATAACATTAATTACATCTTTTCATAACTTCACCAATAAGCAAAATAAATCAATCCAAAATAAGTAAGAGCCTTAAAACATCAGAAAACAAACCTTAACATACTGTTCATTTGCCACACCTTCGGAGAGAATTTGTTTCTGATACACAGCCAAAACAGGTTTGGTTTGCTTGATTCTTTGATACATCAAGGGCTGTGTAAACATGGGCTCATCCTGCTCGTTGTGACCCTGGCGACGATAGCTAACCAAATCGACAATTACATCCTATAAACCACAGAAACAACCTTCTTCACAGTAAAGTTTCTTCGACTGCAAACTATGCAAAAGGAATTAAGGACTACTACAGCTCGTAGAGATATGGCAAAAACGAAAAAAAACCTTTTTAAAAGTTCTGCGCCAATCGGCTGCAACATTACAGACATGCATAACTGCTTCAGGGTCGTCGGCATTCACATGGAATATAGGACAACCTACTACACGACCAATATCAGTACAATATGGTGAAGACCTCGAATTCCTCGGATCTGTTGTGAATCCAATCTAAACCAACTACATAAGGAATTTCCACTATAAAATGAACACTTAAAAATCCATAATGACAATAATGCTAATTAAATTAACCACTCTCAATCAGAAACCCTGTGGCACTCTCCTTCGAAACTGTATAGTAGCGTTTCCCTTTACGTACGAAAATTAAAGATGCTTACTTACGAAAGACAAAATGAGTGCTGGCCTGGTTATTAACGACTATATGTACAGAGCCGTGAATGGTATAAGCCTTTAAGTCATCAAGGTTGAAAGTTTCCATAACGATGCCCTGTCCAGAAAATGCAGCATCACCATGCATGTATAGCGCCATCGTGCGATCTCCCTTAGTGTCACCGTTATAGAATGTTTCAGCTCGAACCTTGCCCATGACAACAGGATCGACGGCTACAAATTATAACAGTTACTTGCTTATTCTCTGGTTCAGGAGCTAAATCCCTCAGTTTATTTACTAAGAATTCCTACATTCAAGGTGTGACGGGTTTGCAACAACAGCAACTTTCAATTTCCGTTGTGAACTATGGTTTGTTCTATCAAGGCAAACCCCAAGATGGTACTTAACATCACCAGAGCCTTCGTCTGCAGGTTCCAACGTCGAAAACTGTGACAAAATTGTAGATAACGGTTGACGACAGACATTAGCAAGTATATTCAAACGTCCACTAAATTGATTTTTAAAAGCTGTGCACATCTTATCAAACTAAATCAAAATATAATTGCCAATAGATACCAACAACTTTAATTAATTTATAATTACCGATGCGGCATCCCAATTACAATAGAATCTACACCGGCAGCGCTAGAGACGTCAATAATTTGTTTCACAGCAGGAATTAAAACCTCACAACCGTCCAACCCGAAACGTTTTTCGCTTGGCCACTAAATAATGCTTTATAAGTTTCAAATGATGATTTTTAACAATCAGAAGAAAGTACCCAATAATAGACGGTCGAGAGTTTGCCACAAATTACTTTACCACAACTGAGGAGCAATCATACATCAGAAAAAGCATTACGAGGTTTACAACAGCACCTTCTTTGCAAGAAACTCTTCGAACTTCGTAGACCGTATAAGTCTTTTAAAAAGTGTTTTTTTTTGGTCTTTTGAGAGTTCACTCGCTCTTGGAGCTTCAAACTTCCTCCGAATCCATTCCAGTTGATCATAATTTGTAAGATGCATATATTCCACACCAGTATGATGGCAATATATTTTCTAAAAAGAAAAATCTCTTCCTTTCAACGAATGAACTAAAGTGTCTCAATTTGGAAGCGTGTAAACCCTACTAACCTTAAGCCTTGATACGATTTCCCTCAATGTGAGTTTACTTTGCTCACCACCAATAAAGGTTGACATCGGAAGATAAAATTCACGATCCATATCTCCCTCAGTTAATCCGTAAAACTGAGGATCCAGCTCAACAGGAATACTATCGTCTAAATCTGCACTATTGATGCCGAGTGGGTCCAGGTCCGCTATGTTATGTCCTCGCACCTGAACAGCTTTTCCTTAGCAGTCCCGATTAGCT